AGGAACAATTATGATCCTCTGTTGAAGCATCTTAAGCAAGATGTTATCTCTTGGCATCCTTTACTACTCTCTTAGCTTGGTTGTGTGTCAGCTATTATTATTAAACCATGGCTACTGTGGTTTCATACACTTGCTATTATTCTCCCCGTCTCTCTATAGGTTTCTTTCACCGCGGGGAAAAATTATGGGTTCATAAACTTGTCTTTTAAAAGAAAATAAAAAGAAAGCTAAGAACTGAGGTATAGCAGTCCCCAATCCACGCCTGTATTGGGAACCTTGCCAACTCAGGCAATTGTTACCCATTATTAACCATAGCAAAGATGTCTCCTGGGTCAATGGACTACTCCCATGTGTCCCCAAGATTTTAAACCCTGTCCTTTGGTACCCTTTCTCAACTTGCCTTCCAAAGTCTTGAAAATCCCATTCTTCTTACTAGGCTGTATGTGTGGAGGAGATGACAGCAGGCTTTAGCTCCGATACTCTCCCCCCTACACCCCTACCAAGATTATTCAAAATTTTCCTGCCCAAAGTGTTATGGTCACGTTGGGGTCTGGGAAGAGGCGGGGCTTGTTCATCTGCATGACTTATTTGTTAATGGGAAATTTAAAATACCTGTGCAGCTTCTTGCCTCATTGCCAGACCCTGAAAGGCAGTGGCTTTGGGCACTTAAAAGTACATAGCAAGCCTTGCTTTAAAAAAATTGAGTACTGCTGCCAATCTCTATCATTCATTTTGTTGTTGTTGTTTAGTCGTTTAGTCATGTCCGACTCTTCGTGACCCCATGGACCAGAGCATGCCAGGCACTCCTGTCTTCCACTGCCTCCCACAGTTTGGTCAAACTCATGCTGGTAGCTTCGAGAACACTATCCAACCATCTCGTCCTCTGACGTCCCCTTCTCCTTGTGCCCTCCATCTTTCCCAACATCAGGGTCTTTTCCAGGGAGTCTTCTCTTCTCATGAGGTGGCCAAAGTATTGGAGTCTCAGCTTCAGGATCTGTCCTTCCAGTGAGCACTCAGGGCTGATTTCCTTAAGAATGGATAGATTTGATCTTCTTGATCTGCATTCATTAAACAGCTGTTAATCTGAGATAGAGCAGAGTGCCTGAGTTTGTTGTTAACTTTTGTTTTCTTAACCCCCTCGACCACAGGCTCAGGAAATACAATCAGTGCAAGGGAGTAGTTTCTGCTCTTTAATTTATGTTACTGGGAATCAAATATGGAAAATTTCAAAGTTTAAAAGCAGCCTGGAAGCAGATATTGGTGAACCCATTGTAGACTTGATATGGTACTCTCTGTGGTCCTCCCCTCCCTTTAAAGCCATCTCAGCCACAGGACGGGAGGCAACATTAAAGATGGTGCACTACTGGTTTTTCAGAGGAGGATTAAATTATATGAATCAAACTTCTGTCTCCTAACTGCTGGAGCACTTGCTCTGTTCAGGGCTCTTATGTTCATACATGGTAGCATTGTCTTCATGTTGCTTGGTTTTGGGATCCAAGATTTAATCACCTTTCCAATATTCACGAATCACACTGTGCCTAGATATCCTTCTTTAGCCTTACTCTCCCTTTCCAAAGTGCTCTATAAAGACTTCATTATTCTTTTATTAGTAGCTGCCAGAATGACAGTAGCGGGAGGATGGAAAATGTCCCTGGCATTTACAGTAACTAACTGGTATGATCGTGTTTGGAGATTAGCCTTGATGGAAAACCTAACCCACAACGTCAGATTAGCTTAAAGATGATAAAGAAACAAAAATCCTGTGGCACCTTAAAGAGTAACACATTTCTTATGGCTCTTGACGCTTGTTTTTTGCTACAACAGACCAAGTTGGCTACCCTTCGGGAAAAGTTAACGGTGCTCTTGAACAAGGCAGAGTTATTAACCATGGGGTATATAGGCGAGTATCTGAAACATGTTGTGTTATCCAAGTCACTCATTGGTGTTGTTTTCTAAACTGAATTGCTAAGAAACCATAACCACACATTCACAGACGTTATTCTCCATTACCTTGGAAGAGGTGGGGGAATCTTATGTCACATTCACAGCATACATTTAAAGCATTCATGTACTACTTTAACAGTCATAGCTTTCCCCCAAAGTAGCTAAGAGTGCTCAGAACTGCAGTTCTGTGAGGGGTAAACTGCAGTTCCCAGAGTCCTTTGGGGGAAGACATATCTGTTGAAGTGGTATAAGAGTGCTTTAAATATATGGTTTGGATAATATCTTAGATTAGGTGAGGAGCTGAACGATATCAATTCTCATTCAGAAGTCACAGCAACTATAATGTAAACCACTGCAGAAAGCCTTCTATTTCAGAGCTCAAGCCTATCCAGAACCTAGAGACACTTCCTAATATTTTGAAGGACGACAGCTGCTGATGTTTTTAGCTAAGTTTTATCTTCTCAGAATCCTTGAATTGCATAATTTAGATCCATTTTCTATTACGCTACATAATGTAGCAAATTTATCCATGGGGTCATTCCACATCAAATCAACGCAAAAAACAAAGTTTTTTTTTTTTAAAAAAAACTTATAATAACCAATATTATGTTAATTTTTATAATGAACAACTTGCTTTCATTATTTTTTTCTATTACAGCTGTGGGTTGTAGGAAAGTTGTACCCAGTAGCCATTTTCCCCCACAATGTCCAAAAAACAAAAAAAAATTCATTACAAGGAATAAAAAACCCATAAATTTCATTCTTTGTCGAGAAAGAGCATGTTTGTGCAATAATTTTCAACATCAAAAACTTGGGGTTCCATCATGCCCACAAGCTGAAAATTGAGGTTTTCTAAACCGAGGTTTTCCACTAAAGAAAGTACATTTATATTTTAAAAAATAGGCATTTGTAAAATCTTTTGAGTGCTGGTGTATTTTTTCCTGAAATCCTCGTCCTCTTATTGAGCTCTGTGTAAAATTTCGGAGAGATCTGATCATTGTTTATGGAGAAAAAACATAAAATGTACATGTGCCAAGGGTCTCAAGAGGGACAGACAACTCAGATTTCATGAAACTTTGAAGTGCTACAAAATTAAAACCATTTGAGATGAAGGTGGGAAATTTAAGGGGGTTTCTTTCAACCATAAGGGAAGGGTGTACACCAAGTTTCATCAAAATCCAAGATGGTGGGTGACATGACCGCATTGACATGACATGGAATGACCCATACATGACATTGCATCTATTTCTCCTCACAGCACATAATCCTTTCAGCGCATAATCTTGTTTTCCAAATATGCTGTACTGAAACTAAATGATATTTTCTATGTTCTTGACAAAGATGAAATCATTTTCTTACTTTCTAGGTTTACATATGACAAGAGGTGTGTATTTATACACAATAATGTTGGCAAGACTGTACATTAATGTACAGTTTAAACTGAAGTGGCTTTCTTTATACAAGAAAGCAAATGACATTCCTATATCCCAACAGCAATTTTCAGCTGAAGTAAACTATTTGGGCATTAAGTGTCAGCAGCATGTACAAGCTTAAGAGGCAAGAATTTTATTTGCTTTTAGAGAGATCTGGAGTATTAACACTGTAATGTTATGTGTCTGAAGTAAAGAGCAAACATATGAGCACTATTGACTTTGGGTAGTGTAGACTGAAAATGAAATATTACTTCCAAGAAGAGGTTTACTATAACAAATTAGTGTGATCTTTGCAGTTAGGCATATTTCAACTGCTCAAGGTATTTCAATGGTGGTCCTCATTTTATTTTAACAGCAAGACTCTTAAAACACACTTCGCTATATTTGCAAGAGCCTTTAATGAGCAATTCCAATAGATGTAGCTCAGTATTTCAACGATAAAAGGTTGTGCATGAGTAAAAAATGGATTTGGATCTCCCACAAACACCCCCATGATCCCAAGGATAAAATCCCATATACAGTTATTTAGGAGTAAACACAACTTAATTCAGTGAATCTTATATCAAAGGGGTCATGCTAAACATCTTACATTTAAATTAAGGAAGTGTTGAGGCTCTCAAATGGTCATTTTAACTGAGCGTACCTCATACCGACATTCTTAATTCAGCATAATTTTAAATACAAAGACAAGCCTACCTATTTAATTGAACACATTTTCTAAACTCACTTCATTCATTCATTCACCCAGCAGTCCCTTCAACACCAAAGCAGAAATTCTTAATTGGTTCCAAGGTGAATTGCTTTAAATCAAGACAATTAAGATAAATTTAAATAATATAACCAATTTAAATTTTCCAACAATATTCAAATAAGCGATTAAAGTGGCTTCCCATTTTGAAATGCACATATTTCCCAAGGAAGCATACATATTAACAGTGCACACTAATTGTGCCAACAATTATATTGGTTTACAACTAAATAGGGGACGTGGGTGGCGCTGTGGGTTAAACCACAGAGCGTAGGACTTGCCGATCAGAAGGTCGGCGGTTCGAATCCCCGCGACAGGGTGAGCTCCCGTTGCTTAATCCCTGCTCCTGCCAACCTAGCAGTTTGAAAGCACGTCAAAGTGCAAGTAGATAAATAGGTACTACTCCGGCGGGAAGGTAAACGGTGTTTCTGTGTGCTGCTCTGGTTCGCCAGAAGCGGCTTAGTCATGCTGGCCACATGACCCGGAAGCTGTATGCCAGCTCCCTCGGCCAATAAAGCGAGAGGAGTGTGCAACCCCAGAGTCGGCCACAACTGGACCTAATAGTCAGGGGTCCCTTTACCTTTACCTTACAACTAAATAGAGCAACTTCCCCAATCTGGTGTCCTTCAGAAGTTTTGGAATTCAGCTCCAATCATCCCTGACTGGGGCTAATGAAATGGGGCGATGGGGCAGGCTCACCATCCCTGCTTTATTAATGCGTTTCACAGAGGCTTCTCGTTCTGTTACTACAAATGTTTAGTCAGCCAAGTACATTTAAGCCAAGCCTTTTCCTTTTCTTTTCTCAAAGACTTGGCCAAATAATGAGCTCTCAGCACACACTTCAGACTCTCCCCACACAGCTGCCAGCTACTTACAGAGGAAATGGGCAGTGTGAACCCCACTGCGTAGAGGACAGTGGATGTGATGGTACTGTCATGGAACGGATACTTGATGCTGTCATCATTACAGAAAAAGCCCCTCTGATACGGCTTTATTTTTGCCAAGTTTAGAACAGCAAGGGGTAAGCCAGCTGTTGGGGGAAGGGAAAAAAAGATACACAGTTAAATATTTATCTATACGTATTATCAAGCATGGATGAAACTACTAAGCAACATGCAAAACTCAAGAGTGTAGCGTATTCAGTATCATGCAGTGCACACAAACTGCCTAGACTTCCAAGCCCCATTTACCTATCTGTCCCGTAGATACCAGCAACCAGGCCTGCCAACTGCAGAAGTGAGAATAGCGCAGAGTTCAGATACCAGAATGATGCTTTCCACATAAGGCAAGTTATGAGGCAAATTATTTAGCTGCTATGTTTATTTGGATTGATAACGTGGGAATGGAAATAATCAAAAGGGAAAGAATTTGAAACTTGGACAGAATATAAATAAGAACTGGAACGACTGCAAGGAATGTAGGGCTTATTTTTATGAGACAATGTTTTTTGAAGCCAGGAAAAAAGGGAAGAATTTTCTGAAAGCTTGATGAAGAACACTGGTTATTAATGAAGTTATAGAGTAGAAGGACAATTTGAACTAACTGTGTCTATTGAATCACTGTAGTATCCTAGCCAGTTATCACACATGATGAGCACCCTGCATCCCAAGTATAGCAAGCTGGAAGGAAGAGGGAATCCTCTCTATAGTTGCACTACACCTTAGCGGTTCTCTGACATTCAAGTATATATCAAGAGAAAAGACCTCTTCCCTGCTAGAGGGGGCGTAGGGTTTCATGGGTTCTTCTTATTTTTATGCTTACTCCTTGACATCAAGGAGGTCTTTAAGCAGAGGCTTGACAACCATATGTCAGGAGTGCTCTGATGGTGTTTCCTGCTTGGCAGGGGGTTAGACTCAATGGCCCTTGTGGTCTATTCCAACTCTATGATTCTATCAGTAACTGCTACAACTAAAAAAACCAAAACAAAACATTGTTGTATACCAGAGAAATATTTTACAGGGAGATACACTGTAGATTGTTTTTTCCCCTTCACTTTTCCATATTGAGATGGGACTCGTATATACTCTCCAATTTAAATATTACATTCATCCCAACATGCGTATTTCAAGGCAGGAACAACCCTCAGCCCCAAGCACACACTGACTACACCTTCATGTCCACCTACATAGAGATTTTTATAATATGCTGAAATGCGGATTATGCTGGTTAGTACCCAAACTCTTCTGTAGTTTTAAATTTGCCTACCCTCAGTCTTTTTTGAAGAGCAAAAAAGAGGACACATTTGCTGACTTCTACTTTTAACTATGGACTCTCATTTTACCTACCCATGAAAAAGAGGACATGTCCCAGAAAAAGGGGACATGTGGCAACCTTAAATAAATTGTTGTTTTTAAATTGTCTGGATGGGGATGTAGTGTGAAAAATCTAGTCTTGAGGGATCAAGTGTTGGAAGATGGTACTCAGTTCTTCTGATAGTCTGAAGCCCTATGATCACTGATGTTTCGAGTTGTAACTTTTAAGGAGAGGTAATTAGAGACCTATTTAAGGCCCCTATTTGGCCTATAGCTTTGACAATGAAAGGGTGGTCAAGGCTCCTCTCAGCAGTGGCAGTAGCTGTGACTCTCAAGAAGGCAGAGCTGCAGGCACAGGAATACAAGCATGGTGTCTGTGTCATTCTTAATATATTTGACACACTAAGGAAGACTGCTTGGAGAAATCCAGACCTTGGTAGGCCCATTGCTCACCTCATTCCATGGCAGATTTGCCTGGTTAGTGAAGCTCAGCTTGAGAAGTTTAACCCACCTCTTATCATTCATTACGCCTTTTAGAATTTCCAGGTTAAAAACATGAAAGGGGCCCCTGTATTTGTTATGCTGAGGATAAATTCCTCCCCCTCTCCTAGTATCTTTTTGTGCCATAAGGTAAAGGTAAGGTACCCCTGCCCGTATGGGCCAGTCTTGCCAGACTCTAGGGTTGTGCGCTCATCTCACTCTATAGGCCGGGAGCCAGTGCTGTCCCGCAGACACTTCCGGGTCACGTGGCCAGCGTGACATCGCTGCTCTGGCAGGCCAGCGCAGCACACGGAACACCGTTTACCTTCCCGCTAGTAAGCGGTCCCTATTTATCTACTTGCACCCGAAGGTGCTTTCGAACTGCTATACCTTTTTGTGTGCCATACCTTGTGGTATTTTAACTTCTAGCATCAGGATGGTAGAGGTACTAACCCCCATGCCCTCTGGCTCTCATAACTGAATTTGTAAATGTCCTACACTGAGTTGGAGGATCAGCCCTGTGATGTTGTGTGTTGTGTTCACGTCAGCCTCTGCTATTTATTATCCAAATACAACTTAAACATTTGATGTATGCATTATCATCATTTGATGACTGCTTGAACCAGACTCTAATCTCAAGGTAAATTCCAAAATGAGAAGAAGAATTTACCAATGCACCCAAAGCAAAAAGAGATGTACAAAAAAGGTCTCTTCCAACTTTTTAAAGTGAGGAATAACCCTAACCAACATTTTTTTAAAAATTGTGAATAGTAGTGAGGTAAGTGAGGTAAAACCCTCTCTCCATAGGACATTACTTCTTCAGTCTCTTTGCTCTCCCCATCCCCCTTCCCCACAATCACAAACACACATTTACAGGATACCACAGTGAAACCATCACTTCCGCAGCAAAGCTGCTTACCATTCATTATCCAGAGACAGAATCCCAGGATTAGCACTACTGCAAATGTCATACTAACCACAGAAATAAAAACCATTCTTGCTTTTTGGTTCAAGATTACGTCAAAAGCCTACATGACCCACGAAAGCCAGTGCGGTGCAGTGGTTAGAGTGTTAAACTAAGACCAGGGAGACCCAAGTTCTCCACACTCAGCCATGAAGCTCACTGAGTGACCTCGGGTTAGTCACTATCTTTCATCTTTATTTACCTCACAGGGCTACTCTTAAAGGTAGAATTTGGGTGGAGAAACCACATACACTCCCTTGAAAGGAAAGGGTAAATAAATTCTCGCAGGCCTTCAGCACCTTGCAATGTAATATATGGGGAGTATTACTCCTAAGAGTAAAACTACTGATTACCGCTGATTATAATGAGATTAGATTACCCTTGGTTATAATTAGTTGGGCGGGCTACAGAATAGTAAGGAATACAGTGCGGGGTGTTGCACTAGCAGAAAGGGAATGGGGGTTATTGGGTTATTTTGGTTTTCAATTTTATTGTGCATTTGGTGTTTTATATTGTGATTTTATGTTGTAAACGCCCTGAGAACTGCAGGTAAAGGGCAGTATACAAATTTAATGAGTAAAAATAATAAAATAGCCTTCTGCTCATGCAATTGTACATTTTGATCGAAACACCAACCTTTTTTAAAAAATAATAATCCTAGATAACCATTTCTGCAAACAGAGTGGAGGGATAAAGGGTCTGAGAGTAAAAGAAGACAGGTCAGGGTGCCAAAGCAGTGTGGATGGAATGAACAGAGGCGAACCTGCAGCTTACCAGAACTTTAAGAACGGAAAGTCGTGGATGTGGCAAACTCAAAGCAATTCTCATAACATTAACATGGAAAGCAGCCCATGTCAAGTCTTAAGCATAATGGCATCTCATTTTATCCAGCAACTTATTTAGCAGTTTTTGAAGGGTGGAGAGAGAACCAAGTTAGTAAAAGAAATAATCTTACACAAGTGTTTGTTATTCTATCTTGCTTTAGAATATAAATCTTCACCTATACCAATTCCTGGATAGTTAAAAAAATAAAAGGTTCTCTGTGCCCTTTCAAGCATTGGTTCAAAGCTACTCTAATTATAGCTGTAACTACCTAGAAGTACAGGATCTGGCAGCATGATTCACACTCTAATCCAAGCTTAGATTTAACACTATTTCTGCTGAATGACTTCTGCAGATATACAACCTGAACCTGCTTATATTTACTCAGAAGGAGTTCCGACAGGGTTAGATGGGGCTTACTTCTCACGTGAACATAGGACTGCAGCCCCATGAATGCATACAGTGCCACTAACTTGGCTTATATGCAAATGCTCCATTTTAATTGCCTTATGGGTTAGTATAGTCAGTGTTCATTCAAGGAAAAGTGAACAACCTGAATTTGCTATTTGATGGACATGCACATAAATTGTTACAGGTTTATTCAAAATATGGCACTGTTTTTCAATATGTATACTCAGTCTCTCACTATGCCAACTGCTCCACAGATGCCCCACATTTAATTTCCACAACACCCTTACCAGTCAACTCAAAGTTCTGTTAAATGATGTCCCCACACTCCTTGCCAAACTGCCCCTGCCAGGGTTCCTAGCTTTTCGCAACCATTTTTTCCACTGTCTTCCAAGGGCAAAAAAGTACTTTCTGCTACAACAGCAAAAACTCAGTAATGAGGATGTCTGGTTTCTATTAAGCATACATGGCAAGTTTAGAAATGTTAACAGTAGTCTATAAAATTAGATAGGGAGGATAACTTGATTCCCCCAAGGCAATTCAGAAAAGAAATAATGCCAAGGTGACAAAGGAGGGACAAGACTCTGGCTACCATTCAAGTCTGCGCAGGATAACAATTCTAACTTGGGTAGTATTAAAACATTAGTATTAAAACATCCACACTCACTCGCTTTATGGTTAGGAGTAAGCTTTTATCAGTAGCATTTTGCCTTGCCATGTTCCTTCTCAAGGGTAACCCCTTCTCTTGCACTTTCATTTTTAGCAGCCTTGGAAAGTTCCCCCTTTATATTTGGCTAAATTACAGAATAGAAACCAGGGTCATTGACAGTCACGGAGAAAGATTCACTCAGGAGAGAATAATTATACCAATTAGGTAAGTAGGATCCTGCACATAAAAACATACTGACAGATATATTAACTTGCGGAATTCACTGCCGCAAGATGTGATGATGGCCACTAGCTTTAATGGCTATAAAACCATCAAAAGCCATTAACAATGACAGCTAAATGAACCTTCATATAGAGAAACAGTATGCTTCTCTTAGCAATACTACATACTGGGTCAGAGAGTCCTAGCTATCATCTTTGTGATCTCTATGTATT